ACTGTTGCGATTTGGCCGCTGGGCCCGATGCCTTGCGTTTGGGTGCCATATTGATGTATTTGCGATCGATATTGTGCGATTCTTAGGTATTTGACGTCTTGATGGTTGCGTGCGATGATGGGGTGGTTGGGTTGAGTGACCTCATTCGATTTGCTTGGCGTCGATCGGGGCGCCTTCCCTGGTTGCCGCAGTGATACGCGAGATCGCGCAAACATGTGACCTCGCATCAAATCTCCACCCCCACATCGTGCCGAAACCGTGGGATACTTTGCATGTGCTTTCTACCTTTTCCTGGTAAGTTCAGATCTCCTAGGCATGTCAAGATCGTCAACCTCCTTAGAAGGATCGCGTATACCTGACTAGACATGAAAGTTCGCGATGAGGAGTCTTGACTCGTACATAGAACATGCCATGTTTCTTAGGCCTTCTTCTCTCCTACTGACTATCGACTAGGCGTTGAAACAAGACCTCAAAAACCTGTGATCAACCATGACCTCCACAACACCCCCAGATGTCGCTGCACATGTGGAGGCTCTAATCCCCAAATTCCATCTGACCCGCCTATTGAATTCCGACCAAGCTGGCCGTCGCATCTCCCTTCTGGGCACCATAGACTCCAAACCAGCTCTCCTGCTCGCTGAGCGCGCTGCCTTCGATACGAACCCTGAAATCCTAAACAATTTCTCCACCTCTCTCCGCAACATCAAGAACCTCGGTGCAAACGACATCTACGCCTGGTTCCTGGCGAACTCCAATCCCAGCGACGAAAACCCACCTCCGGACTTCAAGTTGAACCTAATTTACCCCTGTACCGATAAGCACATCAAGAAGTATGAACAACAGCGTTTGAGGGTCGTCACCGAGACTCCAGAGATTTACGCAAAGTATGTCAGGCCGTACATGCAGGCACAGCGTGAAAAGGGCGCGTTGAACTGGGTGTTTAACATCATTGAGGGCCGGACAGAGCAGGAGGATGTCATCTACCGCGAGTCGGGTGAGGAGGGCTTCTTGCTCTTGCCTGATTTGAACTGGGACCGTAAGACGATGGGCAGTCTGCACTTGCTTGGTATCGTGGAGCGAAGAGATATTTGGAGTGTGAGGGATCTGAAAAAGAACATGGCGGAGTGGGTGAAGCATATGCGGGAGAAGATGCTTGAAGCGACTGTGAAGCTTTACCCGGAGCTTGAGAGGGACGAGTTGAAGCTTTACGTGCACTGTGAGTTGATACTGATAAGAGGACCGAAAAGACTTGCTAACGGATAGTGTAGACCAACCGACATACTACCACTTCCACATCCATATCGTCCATGTTTCGCTGGAAGCGGGCAGCACGCAAGCTACCGGAAAGGCTCTCGGTCTTGAGAACATTATTTCGCAACTCGAAACCATGGCTCCTGCTTCGTCCCCATCACCTCCAGGTATGCAAGATGTTAGCTTGACGTATCACCTTGGTGAGAGGAGTGATCTGTGGGAGAAGGTGTATCTGCCGCTCAAGGAGGGACGAGAAGTCAAGGTGGATGACTTTTGAGGAGAGCAATATACTCCTTATGGTAGTATAGACTAGTGTACACATCATGCTACAGTTCATATAGCGTTGTACGCCAGAATTCATCGCTAGACATCTCGGCAAATTGCCGGCTCTCTCTCGTTTCGTAATCCTCCTAGAACGACTCGGCAAGCGTAATCAGACTGAAACGCAACTCGCCTCCGCCGGCCTCTGCCTCGCGCTTGAGGAAGCTCCGTACGCCCAGATCAAGAGCCTTTTCGCTCAGGACATCCTCATCTGGACCCAGCGCGCCACGGTCAAGGGGACCTTTCCGCCGACCGTCAAGCTCCCACAGATGGTTCTTGTCCGACTTGATAAAGCAAACGTAGTGTAGATCGACGTCGGAATCGGCCTCAGGCGCAGCAGTGTCACCACCGGATGCAGCGCTTTGATGTGCGCTCTCGAGAGCTTCAGATTCGTAGAGGAGGTCGGCTCGTTCGACAGGTTTGAGGGGTATCGCGTCGTTGACTAGCTTGGCCAGATTCGAGTCGGGTTCTAAGGCTTTTGTCAGCATGTCTGATGGCTATCTCGGAACACGGCGGCTACTGACTGATGTGTGCACGGGCGGAACCGTTGGAGACACCGTGAAGTAATCCGATTAGACCACAAGCATTTCCAATAGTCTGCTTATACCAGATGACCTCTTCATCGGGGCCATGTCCCTGGTATTCCGGCTTGTCCTTGTCTTCCTGCACGCGAAATGTCTCGTATGTCTTACTGACGGGGAAGACAAGGAGGAGGGCGTGAGCAGGCCGGGGTACGAAAGCAAGTAGTTCGGGCTCGTCTATGCTAAAGACATCGTGGAATGCAAGCTTCTCCGACAGACCAAGCTTGTGGACGAGGGCGGACATGACATCGGGATTATTCTCTGTCGCGCATTAGCTGGCATGTATGCAGTGTATGTGGAAATGTCCTACCCAGAGGAATGAACCTCTTCCTGCCTTTGGGCACATCTGGTGACGATTCGGACGCCATGGCGATGCTGTGTAGAAATGGTGTTGCGGGGAAGGAGAGCTCGACATGTTATACCTAGGTAGACGTGGGGCGCAGGCAGCAAACGACTCGTCATCCAAACTCTCTTTGCCTTCCACAGGCATACCATAGGCTACAGCATCGTCTGCTTAGAAAATCGAGGGGTTTGGCACTGCCTCTTGCATGTTGAGCTTCGAGAGACTGCGGGCGTCATGAGGGAGAAACGATCAAGCACCATCTACTCGTGGAGAGTGGTTCATAACACGATCCATCTCAACCCTTAGCATAACAGCATCATCTTGAGGTGCACTCGACGCGATGCATGCGATGGACACGCGACTTGGAAAACGCGATGGCCTGTGCGGCGACATGGCGGAAGCTTCTGAGCCCCGCGCGGTGACGAAGGACCTGAATTTGACTCACGTGAATCATGCATCTTCGCCGTTGTCCCTCCACTACGCCCTTTTCTCGCATAGTACACATCGGACGGCCTCAATTACCACGGACTAGATATTGCCAGGCTGGAGCATCTTTGATACCGCCTACACATCCCCGCAGATCCATAGCCACTGCGCCCAGTAGCTTTACGGCGGATTTCTTTACCCCACTACAGCCACTTGCCCTCAACTTTTTCCAGCGAACCTTCGCACCACTGCCCACCATGACCACAATCGACGAGACCCTGGTCACCTTCCTCAAGACACACGCGCCCAACAACGCCGCCGACGAGACGGACGCTGTCAAGGCCTCGCAGGCCCTCTACCCCGAAGTCACCTACACCGACGCCGAGAAGACGGAACTCAGTCAATGGCTGATCACTGCCTCCCACATTGCCTCGTCCTCTGAGGATGCCGCCAAAGCCTCCGAGCGCCTGTCATCACTCAACACACACCTCTCGAGCCGAACCACCGTCCTCGGCGCAAAGCCCTCCGTCGCAGACATCGCCCTCTACCAGAAGCTCGCACCAGTAGTCTCAAAATGGAGTGCTGAGGAGAGGACTGGAGAGCAGGGATACCACCACATCGTCCGCCATGTCGACTTTGTCCAGAACTCCCCTGTCTTCGGCCTGAAGCTGGACGACAAGGTCAACATTGACCAGGACAACGTCATCTTCAAGATCAAACCAGTAGACGCAAAGGCCGAGAAGGAGCGCAAGAAGAAGGAGAAGGAGGCGGCTGCTGCCAATGCCGCCGCATCTGGTGCCACGGCTACTACTCTGACTGGCGACCAAGGACAAGCCGCACAAGGAGGCCAGGGAGGCAAGAGCAAGGCGGACAAGGCAAAGGGCAAGGTCGAGGCTGCTGGCTCCGCTGTCGCATCTGCAGTCGTCGGCAACCCAGCGGGCGGCTCAGCAGGCGGTGTTCCAGAAGGTGCGCCGACCGAGAAGAAGAAGAAGGAAAAGAAGGAGAAGCAGCCCAAGCCCCAGAAAGCGTACGTTGTGTCTCTATCCCACGTATACACGCCAACTAACAACGCGCAGTGCGCCAGTCGAGAAGCCCCTCTCTCCCGCCCTCATCGACCTCCGCGTAGGCCACATCCTCAAGGCCGAGACCCACCCCAACGCCGACTCGCTCTACGTATCCACAATCGCATGCGGCGACGCTCCCGGCACAGACAACACCTCAGAGTACGAAGGCCAGGTCGTGCGCACCGTATGCTCGGGTCTCAACGGCCTGATTCCCCTTTCTGAGATGCAGAACCGCAAGATCGTCGCAGTGTGCAACCTGAAGCCCGTTACTATGCGCGGTGTCAAGAGCTGTGCGATGGTACTCGCTGCGTCACCACGCGTTACCGAGGGAGAGGACAGCCACAAGGGACCAGTTGAGCTGGTAGATCCCCCCAAGGAGAGCAAGGCCGGCGACCGCGTCTACTTCGAGGGCTGGGAAGGCGAGCCTGAGCCGGTGCTCAACCCCAAGAAGAAGGTCTGGGAGATGATCCAGCCAGGCTTCACTACAACAGATGGTCTAGAGGTTGGCTTCGATGTTGGCGTCGTACCACAATTGAGCGGCGAGGGCGCGGATAAGAAGACGGGTGTAGCTAAGCTGAGGACCAAGGACGGTCTGTGTAGCATTCCCACTCTCAAGGGAGGTGTTGTGCGATAGATCTGCCTGAGCGTATAAAACAGTCTAGAAAGAACTGTTGGCGCTACCTATAGTTAGGTCTGGTGGACACGTTGACTGTTTCGAAGTACATAGCATGCCACAAAAGTGAGCCAGTCGCACTCCGATACATGAACTAAGTGTCCCCAAAGCCTACTCAGTCCACCCAGTCTACCTTTGATGGATCAACACATTCACAATTGTCACCCAGAAAGTCACTGTAGTCATCAAACCTCATAATCGTCAAGTTAAATTTCAATTCCTAATGCTCTGTAACTATCCTGGGTATACAAACACAATCGTAAAAGCCCGAAGGTATCCAGCAGAAAACAATATAAAACGCCGTCATGCTACATTACGACATCATCCCAGCCATTACGAGCCTAGTCCATTAGGCTCACAGGGTACTCAAAGTCCTTTTCTGCATCCGTCCCGTGTAGCCTGACCTGGTACAGGCACGTGTGACTAGCACCCCAATTGCTCGTCACACGCACCATGGCTTTCGAAACGGGTTCGGACGGCTCGCCAGCGAGGTCGAACGTCTGGAGGTGGTTGGACGCGTGGATGTTGTATTTGAATGATCCGAGGCACTTCCAGGCGGGGCCGTCGAAGCTGGGTGGTGGCGGATCGCGGCAGGTTACCTGGCGGTGGGAGTAGTAGGGGTTGATGGGCGCGTCTGTCTGGACCCAGAGCTCGATGTCGCGGGGCGCGTTGGAGATGTTGCGCGCTGGCATCATGCTCATGGGGACGTGCTCGATGGTGACCTGCTTGGGGATCACGGGACGTGGGATTTTGACGGTGAGTTGGGCTTGGCCGCTTGAAACGGGTGCTTGGCCGGCAGAGCACCAGCAGTCGCCTGGCTCTTCCCACTTTGTCAGCGCTGCCATGGGTGGGTTGCGATTAGGGACGAAGGTCCAGCGGCGGATGAGTCCGTGGAGTCGACCAGCTCGGTCGTTGTATGTTACGGATGACATGTCTGGATCGACAACGGCGCCTAGACCAGGCGAGAAGTAGTTGGGTTTGGTGAGGTGGAGTTCGTAATTTGCGACGAGGTTGGCTTGCGCTAGAGAGTTGAGTCGGATTTGGTCCATCATGGTCTTTCGAGCCTCTGCTTGCACCATCGTCTTGAATTGAGCGCTCTGGGCTCGGATAGCTTCGTCGATCTTCTTGTCGACTTGAGCAGTCAAGTTCTCGTAACGGCGCTCCATGAAGGTGACGAACTCATCACGAGAGACCGCCTGTGGCCAGCTCTCAGTGTGGCTGCGTTCCTGCTGGGCCGTGGTGTCGAAAAGCTCGCCGAGCTTGGTCTTGGTTTGTTCAATGTAGCGCGCCCACTCTTTGTCGCCCATGCTCGAACGTGTCTTGCCAGTCAGTGCCATCCAGAAGTCGTCCGTGATTTCAGAAGAGCCATCCTCATTACGGCGGACAATCATGACTTCAGGAAGCTCCTGCTTGAGATCCTCGATTGTCGTGCGCATATCTGTACGAACATCCTCTACGCGCTGCGTAAGCCGCTTGTCGATGTTGGACATGCGGCCCCATAAGAGGTTGTCGTCACCGTTGTTCTTATATGCTTGAGCCAGCTCAGCTTCGGTGAGTTTGTGCTCGGTCGGAGGGAGGATGAACTCGGTAATCTTCTCATACGTGTGGCTGACTCGAGCGCCAACAGCCTTCACCAATCCAGGCGTTCGCACGGCTGATTCGGGGAACGGTGTGGCCACCGTGGCAGAAGAGATAAGGTAGCTCAACAGCAGTAACCCGGCCAATCCACCAAACGCCCAAATCATAAGCTTTTTCCATTCCCATACCGGCTCGTCAACCTCATCTGGTTCAACATCGCCAAGCCATGCGTTGAGCTCGACTCTGTCCTTTTGGTGCGGGCGGCGTCGCTCCGACTGTCGCTGTGACTGCGATGGCGGGCCTTGTTGTTGAAGTCTGGTCTGCTCCTCGACGATTAGATCTCTTACAGATCCTTCGTTTTCAGCTGACGGAGCGCGTACGGTAGGTCGCTGCACGTTTGCCCTGATATGGGACTGTCCTTGGATGGGTGCCTTGATAGCATTCTCGGCAGGAGTAGGAACCTGAGCCTGGACTGAAGCCCTGTTACGGACCGAACTTTGAGATAAAACAGGGGTAGGTCCTTGGGTCCTTGCTCCATTTACAGTGCGACTGGCAGGTCTGCGACTAGGTACTGCTGGTCTGACGAACGGATCTTGTGCGCCCGAAGTAGCAGCCTCGTGAGTGACGCCGTTCGACTTTGTGTTGTTGGTAGATGTTGTAAGGTCAGGTTTACGGCTCGATGCTGCAGGCTTGGCGAAAGGCGAGCCCATGAATGGATCCTGGGACACTAGCATACCAGCCTCGTGGGCAAGACCGAACGACTTGGTGGTATTGCCGACAGACGCCGCCAGATCATCATCGCTGTGGTCGAAGTCATCACTGTCGATGAAGGAGTAGCCAGGAGTGACCTTTGACTTCGATGCGGGGCTGTTGCGGTTTTGCCTGATGAAGCGCGACTGGCGCTCACTTCCAAGTTCCTCCACGCCTTCATCTTCGTGATTTCGCTGTTCGCTTTGACGGTCCTCCTCTTCCTCATCGTCGGCGTACTTCTCCATCTGGTTTTCCATAGCCTGGGCGAATCCTGTGGCAGGAGCGGCTGGAAGCTTATCTGGGGCACCAGTACGACCGCTCGCGCCATAGGCATTTGATCTGCGACTGGCGACCTTGGTTAAAGTGGTTGTAGTACGTTTCGCTGCGGCGGAAGCTGTGGCATTGGTGACAACTGAATCTGCAACAACAGAGTTTGCCTTTTGACTGAGGCGATCTGAGCGACGGTTACGTCCTCCGGGCGTGCGCGCCTCTCCATTAGCACGTTGCGACATGGCGGCGATGAGCTCGTCAAGATCGCGGTTGAAATCTGGGAGTGATGTGTCGCCAGCAAAATCGAAACCAAGCACAGGAGAAGGGGGCTGGATTGCTTGCTGAGGTTGTGTAAGTAGTTGGTCGTTGGAAGATTGGGTTGCTGGGGCGGTCATGTAGAAGAAAGAAAAGACGCCAGAGGACTGGAGTCGTCCAACAATAGCTGTGAACAAAGAGAATAGCCAGATTCGCGACAATGACGAAACAATAGAAAACAGAACGGGTTGCCCATTTGCTGCCAAGCTGCAGCCAGCTGGCGAAAATTTGCGCGGTGAAGACGAGGTGAAGGTGAATCAGGACTACACGTGCATACAGCCTCGCAATGCATGGGAGAGACATGGGCACATCGCAAAGACATGGGTAGGAAAATCGCGCCAACTTACACCTCGGCCTGAGACCCAACTTCTGCGCGTCCTATTTGCGCGATTGCGGGCGCGTTGCGTTCCAACTCTTGCTCTTTAACACTTTCGGTGACGGTATTGTAGATGGCGGGTTCCTGCAGTGGGTCCGTAAACACGTGGACAAGCCTTCACGCGTCGAAGCCGGCAGATGCGCTGTGGGACTAAACTCGATGGAGAAACTTCTGGCGCTCGTTCATGTGTATGTTGCGACACGCGATCATGTTCCTAGGATCCGGCGCGATGTTGTTCTGTGTGTATTGATGGGTGACAATGAGGTTGATGAAAGTTCGAGGTCGCGCTTTGAGGTGCAAGGGTTCAGCCTGTCCGCAAGCCGCCGCAACCGGTAGGTTAAGCGAGGCTGCGCTCCATCCGGCGGTGTGTGACATGGCATTCTTTGACGCGAAAAACTAACTCTTACGAGACACAAGCAGACAGGAGCAAGAATAACAAGCTGGGAGAGATGGAGCACCCCTCAGAGACGACTGGGAGCTAGTGTCTCCGCTACCACAAGACATGGATGATGCATGAAATTTCCGGGCCCAGCTGGAAGCGGAGCACAAGACCCTGAGAGCCACAACGCTTATTCCGCCTGCTCGCATGTACCTGCGTCACCCAAGTCTAGTCCAGAGGATACGTCGTACGGCCATTTGGTGACTGGCGCATGTGTCCAAAAGACTGGGAGTGGCTGGTCAAGTCCACGCAGCAACTCATGGACTGTGGGTGGGTTGCTATCATGATCTACAGGGCTGACAGGCAAGCACACCCGCAATCGGCCCACACTGTCACAGCCCTTGCTCTTACAACTCTACCAAACTCGACATGATCATATCCTACATGATAGACATTGTATCTACCATCCTCGCAACACGTGTTCCCAGCATTTTGGCAGAGCAGAACACGAGATGATGAAGTTGTAGCTGGTGCAACCTGTGGACGTCTCCAGTGCGTACAAGTAATCTGCGGCGCATACATGTGTCTAGCGAAGAATAATATGCTAAATAGTGGAAGATTGTAGAGGTCTATGGGAAACACATGTCTGGCGATGGCTATGAGAAAGCCAGACCATCCTTGCCGGATGAGGAAATCTATCCGCACGCGGCTCTTCTCTCTTGCCTAGTGGCACAGCCCATGAACCCAGCATCTTGTGCTGCCGCGTTTTTATATATCTGCAACCTCGCAATCAAACGCAGACCCCGAATCGCATAAGAGTGACAGATCCCCAGATCCCTTCTCTACTTTCCATACCTCAAGTTATCACAATGGTTGTAGGATCCGTTCTCGTCACCGGGTAAGCTACCCCTCCACCCCTCCACGCAGCTTCAAGACAGCATCATGGGCAATTGGTACTAACAATGGCTCAGTGGTACCGGCTACATTGGCTCTTTCACAGCTCTCGCCCTCCTCGAGGCCGACTACAAGGTCGTCATCGTCGACAACCTCTACAACTCTTCCCCAGAAGTCGTCAACCGCATCGAGCTCATTTGCGGCAAGCGACCTGCCTTCTACCAATGCGATGTCACAGATGAGGCTGCGCTCGACAAGGTGTTCGAGGAGAACCCAGATATCGACAATGTCATCCACTTCGCTGCTTTGAAGGTGCGCTTCCTTTCCAACTACTGTTCAACCATCCCAAACTAACGCCTCCTAGGCCGTTGGAGAGTCTGGCGAGATTCCTCTGACCTACTACCGCGTCAACGTCGGCGGCTCCATTGCGCTCCTCTCCTCCATGGTAAAGCACAATGTCACAAACATCGTGTTCTCTTCCTCTGCGACCGTCTATGGCGACGCGACGCGCGTCCCCAACATGATCCCGATCCCCGAACACTGCCCCATCGGCCCGACCAACGTATACGGCCGCACAAAGTCCACCATCGAAGGTGCCATCACAGATACCATCGAGGCCGAGCGCAACAATGCGAAGAAGGCCGGCAAGGACGAGAAGGAAATCAAGAAGTGGAACGCTGCGCTACTGAGGTACTTCAACCCCGCCGGTGCGCATCCCAGTGGCATCATGGGCGAGAACCCTCTGGGTGTACCATACAATCTACTCCCCTTGTTGGCGCAAGTTGCGATCGGCAAGCGCGACAAACTGCTCGTCTTCGGTGACGACTACAAGAGCAAGGATGGCACAGCGATCCGCGACTACATCCACGTCCTCGACCTAGCGCGGGGTCATCTCCAGGCGCTCAACTACCTGCGCGAACAACAACCCGGTGTCAAGGCATGGAACCTGGGTACCGGCAAGGGCTCAACCGTCTTCGAGATGATCAAGGCCTTCAGCACCGTTGTCGGACGCGACCTGCCATATGAAGTTGCACCACGGAGACAAGGTGACGTGCTCGACCTGACAGCGAACCCAACACTCGCGAACAAGGAACTAGACTGGAAGACGGAGTTCACACTGGAGGATGCTTGTGCCGACCTGTGGAAGTGGACAGAGAACAACCCAGAAGGTTACGAGCAGCAACCACCAAAGGAGTTCGTGGACGCGCTGAAGAACAAGAAGGCCTGAGCTAGGGGAGTGAAAGTGGAAGGGTATGTGCTTTCTAGGAAGTGACACCTGCATTAGCATCTTGGAGATGAATGCTGAAGCGTTATATTTTACATAGATATGCTGGACATAATAGTTGAACCAGATATGGTATAAACGCAAATTTTGATTACTTGAACGTTACGATACGAGGCCCGCAGTCCCAGAAAGATAGCCGATGTCTCTGAAACTCTGAGCATATACCGTTTGACCAACAGCTCAGATCACCCAACGTCCATCATCACTGTTAAACTTTGGGAAAAATGAATGTCCAAAACATGCTAACACCAACAACAAGATAAAGAAAAGCAGCCAAGCCCTATCTCACCTAGCGATATCTCCGAACTTGAATGCAGTATAAAACCTTGTGCCCACTGCGCTTCTCTCTTTCTCTCCTTACGTCTTTGATTCCTCGATTTCCAAAAAGAGCCAGACAAAAACGCTGTGTGCGGAGACAGCTTTTGGCCAGAAACTTTCCATTCCACGCTGCCATGTGTGGAGACGCTGTCTTGCAAAAAGACTCTTTACAAAAGACCATCATCCCAAAAGCCTATGTGTGAGATGGTCAAAAACTCCTGGCTCAATCATGATGCCAAATCCCGTCTTTGCCTAGTTAGCCATAGCATGTTGAGTGGGAGACATATAAAAAGTACCTCTTGTTACGCTCTATCTCACTTCTCCAATATTTGCAATATCGAAACGTCAAAAAGACCAAAAGGCGGAACAGATGAACTCATGGAGCGGAAGAGAGGGACGTACCTCCAAAACACCTTGTTTTGCTTTCATGCATTTGACCCTCATCAACTCCAGAGATAGCACCAAAAGCCAGTCCGTTCTCGCACATGTCCACCTTTCCGATCGACAGATCAGTAGCTGTATAAAAGAGCATTCCCCTCTTCTCTTCCTTCCTCTTCACGACTCTGTAACTCGAGAGTTTATTCGAAATTCACACACCACCTTGTTCATGAGACTGCAAGAGGAGCAGCACATCACACATGATCGCGTTCCCGTCCATGTTCCTTCAACCCAAACAACTCAAGAAAAAAAACCATGTGTTTCAAGTGTCCGATTCGGGTATAACATTATCAAACATAAGCCACTGCGGTATCCAAAATGCAGCTCTCATGACAACTGCATGGCTATGCGAACGCTCAAAACAAAGCCGAAGCTCAATCGATGCATTCGCGTGCTCATCTCCATCATCGTAATCACATTCCCACCAACGCCTAAGCAATGTCCTCAATCGGGCAGTTTGGATGCAACACGTAGACCACCTTGTCGTTACCCTCAGCCTGGCCCTGCTCGTCTGCGAGTCCTTCACCCCGGATCAACATGAGGTATTGTTCCTGTGGATTTTGTTAGCACACAGATCATCAAAAGTTTCATGTGGTTTCGTACCTTTACGACCTTCTTCAGCACCTTCTTAGCGAGCGCCCTCTCCCTCTCCAAGTCCTCTTGCGTCTCCATCTCGTTCTCCTTCTGCTCGAGGTACCAGATGAGCAATTCTTCCTCTTCGACACCGTCTTGTGTCTCTTCTTGGTCCTCGTTGACACGCTTGACAAACATGTTCCGCATAGCGACATATTTGTCGTGGGTGATCTTTGTTTTCTCACGCGGCGCAACGGCTGGAGTCGCTGTTCGGTCTCGAGAGGTGTCTTCCTGGTCGTCCATCGGCGCATCAGCCTCCTGCTCTGCAGCAGCTGCAGCGGCGAGCAACGCTTCATCATCATCGTCCTCAACTTCGACATCATCCTTCTCGACTGAGATGATGGATTGACGGAGAAGATTGTAGGCTTCTTTGACGAACTCGGGGGTGATGTCGCTGACGCAGTTGGCCTTGGCGATAGCCTCTGAGAGACGGATCATACTCTCAAGTTGACGAACAGTAATACGGTAGCTGTTGCGACCGATGCCACCTTGCGCATCGTCTGCTCGCAGCTCCTTGTATTTCTCGACGAGCGTTTCTCTTGCCTCATCAGTAAACTCTGGTCTGAATGTCCTTGCGAACCGGATGTAGCGCTGCAGCTGCTCAGTGTTGAACTCTGGGTCCACAGCTTCGTCTCGGTGCTGGTGGATGCCGACGATGTGCTCGGCAAGATGGCGGTCGACAGCCTCGTCGCACTCATCCAACACTACGAAGAACAGATCGAAACGTGACATGATAGGGGCAGACATGTTGACGTTG